CAGTGATAACTTTCAAAGAACCACTACCGTCATAACGTAAAGTTATTTTGGCAGGAAAACGATCTCTTTTGAATTATATTTATGGAAATAGAAAAAAACGTAAGGTTGAACAGCAGAACAAAGTTGTTATATTTGAGTACACAGAAAACAAGATATTCTTAAATGATGGAAGGAACACGAATTTGAATATCCACGCTTGGTTATGATGTTTAGGAATTATTATCAAATTAGCGCAACTAGCGTTCCAGTTGAACGGGTATTTGCTGAAGGCGCTGCTGCACTTAATCGATGTTAAAAGAAGTAGTCTTGGAACAGATGCTATTCGTTCATACATGTGTCTAAATTTTTGGTGGGAATAGTGTCATTTAAGGCCACAATCGGTTATCTTAAAGCATTAGTAATACGTTAGTAATAAATTCATGTAAATTATAAAATGCTAAAGAACGGGGAAAGAGCGTTATCTTTAGCTTCCAACTGAAGCATACAATTAGTAATATTACAATTCAAACCCATACTTATCTTAAACTCCAGTATCGCCGTAGCAAGACCGGAAGACCTTGAACCTCGGACTATAGTTGTTAGACGAAACCGGAGGGTGTCGAGATAACTTCAAAGTTTAAAAAGACTACATTAACAAGATTCCCACATGATGCGTAATGTTTGATCAGGGTTAAAGAAAAGAAAAATATTAGTGCGATGAGACAAGTGTGTTACGGCATCACGATTATCACGCAGAGATTCTAGAAAACTAAATTTTATTTGTTCTAGAAACCTAATGGAATATGTAAAAAATTTTTTTTGTAATACCGTCAAGAACTATCTATGGACAGTTTGTGTATCTATCTTTATATGGCGATGATATGATCACTTTCTCCATATAAAGCCACATTAAAATTATATTATGTTTTTTAAAATCGTAACTCCTCAATGAATAAGTCAAAATTTGCAAAAAAAATCCGTAATTTTGTAAAACTTATATAAGACTACAATATAACGCATTTTTTTTTGTAAATTTTTAAGTATTCATTGAGGTGTTACAATTTTGGATGTCTTTAGATATTGTGCACCGTATTAAGGTTAGGTTAGGTTTTAGGTTGTTATATATAAGCAAAATTGCCTTCCCGGCATTTTTACTTAACCTACCTGAGGTAGGTTTAGACTGCCGTTTTTTCTATTTTTTGGGTTTTTCGTTTTCAAAATTCTATAATTTGATTGGCCGTGATCACGTGAAATTGCCCCGGTTAGACGACCCCTAATTTGGCAGTTTTTCTTCCGAACCTTGGCGCATTAAGTGTCGGGAGAATGATTTTACTTATAATCTATACAGCGACAGGCCCTAATTTAACCCTAATCTTAACGTTAATGTTAACGTTAATGTTAATATATACAGTAATAGCAACTTTGTGATACACCAGGCCCATCAGAAACAGTACCGACGATCTATCAGAAACGGTATTTTTCAGTTTATTGTAAACTATACAAATTTATTACTATTTTTCGCAATATAAGTTTTGCAAATTTTTTTTTATAGTTTGTTTTTTCTTTTTTTTACTATAAAAAAGCAGCACTAAAAACATTCAAAAAAAAAAAAAAAAAAAAAAAAAAAAAAGATAAAAATAAATCTAAAACCTGAATAACAGTAGAAATAAAGTGTAATTCTACTATTCAGCTACTATGTAAAAAGCCAAGGATTAGATTTCAAATATATAGAACAAATCAGATAAACAATTTAACTTGACATAGCCTCCGCCTTTATATGTTACCATTATCTTGTCCACCAACTTTAACGCTTCGATTGAACATAACCACTCCTGCCAACATTTTGCCCAAGTTAGTCTTAGTAGACCTTGTGACTTTCATAGGAGTTTTCTCAAGAGACTTTATAGAAGATTGGTCACTTGTACTTAACACTGCAGGAGATTTATGTGATGTCAGTGTGTTGGAAGGTGTTGAAAGTGGGGGCGGAGTAGAAATGGGAGGTGTGTAAATTAATTGCGAACTTTTCTGTTTGTGAGACGGCAATTGAGACTTAAAATGAGGCGGAGGTGAAGTTCTCTTGGAGATCAATGGTCGGGAATTGCTAATAGAAGTAGGAATGTAATGATTGAAATGAGAAACATGGTGAGGTCGAGAAGACGCCAACGTTGGGTCATCAGTTGACGATGATCCACGGCGCCTATTGTTCCACGTAGACAGATTTTGCTCATGTTTACGTCGTTCCAAACGCTCACGACGTTGTTTATACGAAGACCAATGATTATTATTTATTGGGCTGGGTGATGGGCCATTTTCAATCGACGGCTCATGCTGATAATCTCGAGACTTTTGTTCGCCCCAAGGTTTCGGCTTACAATATATCACTTTTGGTGGAGACACGGAAAGGGGTACTTTAGTATGATTAGTAACTTCACTTGATTTACTTATTGCATCTTTCTCTTGCGTTTTCTTTATAACATTATTAATGTCCTCATCAGTGCCAAAACCGGAATCAACGTCACTGTTGTCAGCATTCACATCTGCCGAATTTTCATCATCTTTTCTATTTAAGCCTAATTCATCTTGTAATACAATGTTCTTTGTTTCTACCTTGACATCTTTTAATTTCTTTAAGTAATCGTCACTATCTTGTCTATCAAACAAAACAGGAGTAGTAAAGTCCATCTCATTGTCAAATTCTCCAAAAACTTCCGACCATGAGTCATGAT